AGGACAATTATCAGAAAGTTCAAAAGTGTTCTGCCTGCCTGAGGGGTAGAATCAATTGTTTAGAAGTGACCAGAGTTTGTTGTTGAGGAAATTAGGTTATTCAGTGACATCAAACAATGTTGTGGATTAGGTTCTAAAGTCAGCCATAGATTATCTTCTCAGTCACTGATTATCAAGATGATTAGGGTGACTCACAGAGGTGATTTTTATAGCAATTTATGACTTCTTTAACACATAAGTCATTCTTTCACAATTTTTAGGGTTTTACTTCCCCTTTCCTTTTGCATTTTTAAATTAATTTTCAGGTAGTTATTTGTACTATAGGCAACATATAATATTGAAAAGAGATAGCAACCTTAAATATAAATGGAATTTTCATACCGTGGTCTTAAATCAGTTTCTCAACCTGTACACAACTGGTATTTATGGTTGTATAATTCCTTTCTAGGAGATGGGGAGGAACTGTCCTATGCACTGTAGTGTACTTAGCTGCAATGTATTCCTACTGTGACAACCAAAACTGGGTCCAGCCACAGCCCAGTGTACCCTGAGAGGGCCAAGTGCCCTGATGCCAACCCATGAGAACTACTGAGTTAATCATACTGACTCTGGTTGGTGGGTAAGAACATACTCAAGTGTGCTTACCTGTATTTACTATTTTTTTTTTTTGCTAATTTTTCTGTAATGGGAAATTATCTTTTAAAAAAATACAACAAAGGAAACAAAAGAAATGATAATGTCAGTAGGGAAAAAAATTCAAACATAGAACTTTTCTGAAAGTACTGTTTAATGAAAAAATCACCACTGATACCTTGGGATATGCTTTTTGCATTTAATCTTAGGGCTCATAAAATCAACTTAGTAGGTGAGGACTGGCACTTTAAAAAACAAAAGTAGAGTAGAATGCAAAATAGATTGCAAAACAAGAAATGAGTGTATTAGTCAATTTTTTCTAGTTTGTGTACTACTGTGATATATGCTGGCAAAGAAGACTATAGCCTTGTCAACTTTTAATCCGATTTAAAAGAAACAGGTTGAGGGTCAAGGATTTTAACACAAACAGTAGTGACTACAAAGGAATTACAGGAGTTTGTCTTCTTAAAGTAAATCTTTAAGAGAATTTATATCAAACTTCTTTTTACTATTACATGACATTATTATATATATTTGAAAGTATCTAACTCTTAAAACAATTTCAGGTGTTCTTGAGTATGATTAGCATGCCCAAATATTCTTAACTAGCAAGGCTGAATTTTTAAGAAACTCAAATCTTCATATTAAAAGGCATGATGCTATTAAGTACTTCAAGAAGTATTTATTTACTTAAAATAATTTTGTGTTGCAAGAGCCTCATTTTTTCAAGTCACTTTTTCTCCTAAGATTCTTACCTTTCCATTTTTTTGCAGTTCCACCGATTAATTACTCTCAGAAAGATATAGTATAGTACTAGGATATAACATGCAGCCCCCAGCACTAACACAAATCAATTATAGCTGCAGTTAATTCTCCATAGAGCACCACATTATAGACGAGGCAGATAAACATCTGCACACCCAGTAAATCTACTCATAAAGTGGATCATCTTGAAGTAGAAGCATATTCATGAGTATAACGCTTGCTTTTGGTACCTCACTGTAATACTGCAGTTAGTGAGAAACAATACCAACAGCAAACAAAGCTTAAAAAAAAGCCCCCAAAAATTTCAAAATGATGCTGTTAGTATAAAAAAGAAAGGCTGACACATCTGAAAGCGCTGATCAATACCATCATGCATCTACCACTGAAGGTTAAAGCCCAACACCCAGTATTTGACTATTTGATCTTCACAGATCAAGCAAGGATTTAAGATCATCTCACGTGCAACAGTCTTTGCATAGCACCCCATTTTATCCATGCCACAAAAATGGTAAATTTAGTAGTTACCAATAAATAGGTTGGGGGTCAAAGGGACTAAAGCCTTAGACTGCTCTTTATCATAAGATATCCTCAGACAAACCTCCCCATTCTTCATTCTGGCTCTATAAAATTAAGGAGCAGAGAAAAACTGGTAAGTGTCTGACTTTACAGAAAAAAAGTCATGCTATTATTTCCTTTGTCATTATATGTGTGTGTTTATATAATAAATCCTACTGCATTGCATGAGCTCCCCCTACACCCCCTCAATCTATCTTAAAATATATGCATGGGGGTACTCCAAGCACTGCATAGAATATCAATTTAGTAATCCCAACACATTATACCTTAAAATTTAAGAGTCTACTTTAGTACCAGTGGCATGTTAAGATGCTTTAAGTATCTACTAGTAAACATTAAAAGTTGGATAATGGGCCAATTTCTGGATTTTCCCAAAAAGTCTAATAATATTTTCATATAATCAAATACCTAAACGAATAATAAACACAGATTTAGTCTACAAATGCTAAAAATGATCCTGTATTTACCGAGTAATTAAGCATAATGAAAAAGGTAACAGAATTTAATTGCAATGTCTACTGATATTTTAGCAATTATTCAAATACACATTAGAATTATGTTATCACTGTGTAATTATAATATGCCAACAGAAAAATCTTCTTTAGTAGTGATTATTTGCCTGATTTGCCTATAAAATTAACTTCCTAAATTATGTAATATTTGAACAAATATGGTAAAAGGGAAAATTTTAGGAAATTTTTCTGAATAAACAGTCTTAAGAATAGAAATGTATATTTCACAAAAAGAAAAACAAAATAATTCTGTGATTTCCATATACCTTTGAGCCAGATATTGGTTCACTGTAAGATCAAAGTTTTTTTTAGCACCTAGAAATAATCTACAGAAAATACCTGATACTAAAAAGAAAAATCAACATCCATGAAAAATTAGATTAAAATCCAGTAATTAGCATTTCTACTACAAAACTACAAGCTGCAATTAGCAAGGTACCTTTTCAGCTATAGTAACAATTTTTTAAGAAAAATCACTTCATGACATTGACTAGGTGAATTTTATACCCCAATTATAAGTTCCACGAAATTATTACAGATCTACATATCCTGAAAAAAATTCCTAACTACTACTAATGCAAGTAATAAAGATCCTTAGCCTACGAAGTCAGAAATAGAGTCTGCCTTGGGAAATAGACACTTATGCTTTTATTCCAAGTGATCAGGTAACCCTAACAACCGTGTCATATTACAATATATATCGGAATTTCCCAGTAGCATTTAAAGACATAGGGAAATATCAATGTTCTAAATTTTACTTTCTAGGAAAACATTAAAAGTAAAAGCTGAACTTCAATAACTTTGACAATGTTGTAAAGCAAGTGTAATTAATCAGGAAATGATTAAAAAATTGGTTCTGACAGAACAGGTTACAGTTCTATAGTAACAAACTATGAAATTGATCAAGGCAAGAGATAAATCTGTGTAATCGCAGCACTCAGGAGGCTAAGACAGAAGGATCACCTTTGAGTCTGAGGCCAACCTGGGCTACAAAGTGAGTTCAAAGCTAGCCTAAACTACATAGCAAGACCCTGCCTCCAAAACAAAACCAAAACCAAAAAAAGCAAACACTAAGAACAAAAAGACAAATACTGAAAAATTCACGATACTTCATCTTGATTTTGACCTATTTCTTTTTTAAAAAGGTTTATTAGTCAATAGCAAAATAGGGGGGTGCTAACATTAAAATCAATTTTGCAAAAGTGGATAACAGCTTGTAGCTAGCACACCTGATGTCAAAAATAAAAGTCTCCAAAGGGAAATGTTTGCAATCAATGAATAAGCCACCATGGCAAACTGCACACACAAGAAAAGGGGTCTGTGCACATTTCACTATTGATCAGCAGATGGTCTGAGGGCTGCCAGTAAATGACTTCTCTTTGCAGGCACCCAACACATTCTTGATAACTGCAAGTTCACTACTGCACAAGGCGCTGTCCTCACATCTAACAGTCACATGATGTCATCTCAACTTCTAGCCACCCCTACAACTGACTGATGCAGTGACACTGGCCAGCTCCTCTCCTTGCTTAACTTCCTTAAAGTATGCCATTTTTGTAAGAATAAAATGTTTTTAAAAATTGAGATTTTAAAAACAAATAGCGCCTTCGCTGGTACTATGCTGCTGAGCTACATCCCTGACCCCAAAACTTTGTATCTATTTAACAACTACCCTACTGAAAACACATGGCATTTTTGTATTTAGTAACCTTTTCACATGTTTTTAAATCATAATTAACTCAAAAGTACAATTCAATTTAATACCTGAATTAAGGTTATCATAAAAAAGGTAGCTTATGAAATTTTAAACTTCAGAAACAGAAAGTGCTTAAGCATCAAATCCACACTCAGGTCAGCATCACTGTGGTTACTAGAAAGGGAAGAGGGCTGTTAGGGTTCTGGGATATGGAAAGAAGAGAAGAACATGGTAGTTTTGACAAAAGATGCTTTGTTATTTAAAAAGAGCAAGGAGAAGCACAAATACTTTTTAGTTTTGTTAAGGCAAGACTAGAGGTTCTACAATAAATATAATTAGAAAACACTAATATTTGCTTGGCTACATTTCTATTTACTTAATGAACATGAGGTGAAAAAATGAACCAATTTGGAATGAAAATGCCAAAATCTCACAGTCAACTCCTAATTATCCACACTAATGAAAAAAGGGGATTATTTTAAGCAATTCCAACACAATAGATGGAGAATTCTCAACTTACTGTTACTGTTGGCCAATCTTTTTCTTTAAAATAGTCTGTCCCATGATAATTTAGACCTGAATGTTGCAGTGTCCCAAAATAGGCTGTCAAGAACAGGCCTAACCAACAGATGATTTTCAAAGTGAATCTCACCCATCCATAGATAACTGAGTTGACGTGACTGACACATTCAATGAATAGACTGCACATGAACACTACATGCCAAGCATGCTTTGGAGTGATTTCTCAAAGTGTAAGAATGATTTCCCTAGCAAGAGCAGAACATTCTAGCACCTTGTCCAGAGAACAAGCAACTTACCTCCTGCAGTAGATCAGCCTGTTCAATTGCTTTAAGGACATTTTTCTTGGATGTTTCCTGAACTTCCCCTCCCAAAAGAAATTCATCCAAAATAAAATAGGCCTTCTCAAAATTAAAGATGATGTCAAGTTCACACACCTAAAAAGTAAAACACAAAAACAAAAAACTACGACAGTCAGATGCTTACTTAGCATCAAAAAATAAATTCTGACCAAAATATATTGGTAGTCTTCCTAAAAATAGCAATTACATTAACTGAATACCATTGATTTAAGTATATTTTATTTTTAAAATTCAAGTACTTGAAAACAGAATGCCTACAAAATAAATAAAAGGGCTGGGGAGACAGCTCACCGGTATAAGCGCCTGCCTGGCATGCGCAAGGTCCTGAGCTCCATCCCCAGTACCGCAAACAACAACAAAAAACAACCAAACAAAAGATCTGGCCCTGTATACTCCCAATGTGAATAACTTAGTATCATTAAAGTGCTAACCATATCTGATTTCTATACTAAGTACTTCCAAAATGTTAACATTTGCAGTCAGATTCTATTTTCTAACTCATTCTATCAAAATAAAATGAGGTCTATAAGACTTATAACTCTTTTAGTTAACTGACTACAGACCCTAACAAGACTCATTTCTGCCTTCTCTCTATAGTTTAGAGTCAGCAACACAACCAAATAATCAACTTGTTAGTGAAATGATTTTAAAAAATAAAAATACCATGGCATTCAATTTCTTAAAATATTACTCACACTGCCAAAATACTTGTCAAGTAATTCCACATAACGATGGATTATTTCCAGGGTAATTAGTTCATTGTCCTGATCCTCAATAGCACAGCAAAAGTACAGACTAGCATATCTGTAACAAAACACAAATGTGGAAAAAACCATTACCCCTATAATCATCTTTTCTAAGTATACTTTCATGTCGTACTGTGAAAGCCCTTGTGCTGTAAGTATGTTTATTTCTTCTCTTATAACAGTACAGATTATCTTTCTACTAAACTACAAAATATATGCATAAGAGAAATTTTGAAAATCTCAGGTAGAGAAAAAGAAAAAAAATATTCAATGATACTCTATAAGAGTAACTGATTTTGCTCTTCTCTTTCAGGTTTCTTTCTATGAGCATTCTGAAACATAGCTGACCCAAATTTCCTTAAATTTATTTAATCAGAACAAAATATATTGTTAATGGAAATTACAAGTAAAGAAGAAAAACAAAAAAAAAAAACCTGAAAACATAGTCAACATGAAGTCAATGTTCTGGAATGCCATGTGCAGCAAGGGCCTCAAGTCATGAAAGATCAATGAGTTTTCAAAGTGAATCCACTTGTGTACCAGCACCCAGACCTCAGCACATTGCAGAAGCCTGAAGCTCTCTAGTTACAACCTCCTGCAAGCAGGGATAACCACTATCCCAGCTTCTCACAGCACAGGATGTTTTGAAAAAAGAAGTTTCTAGGATTGTCGATTAATCCCCAAGAACAAAGGCTCTAAATTATTACAAAAATTAGAGAAAGAGAACTGAAAATTCCTATCACTTAAGGGAAACTGAGACCTGTTCTTAAATTGTCTAAGTTCTATGTTGTTGAACTAAAGTTTCTGCCAAATTGTGTGCTGCTAAACTAACAACCAGGTTATTTAGTCATACTCTCTTCCAAATTAGGATTCTGGGACACAAGATTGGGTGACCCAAGAAAACCAAACATATTAATGAACAATTCTGAGGCATAGCAGGTCCTCTGAGGAAGATTAAACCACATTTTTAAAATGGTTCAATGGTATTTAAGGCTTTGGGGATGAAAGAACATAAAAACTAAGATATTCTAACCAAGTCTCAGTTGAAATGGTAATTTTCATACAGGAGTACTTAAGTGATTTTGAGAAAACACAATAGGCAATTACTGCTTATGATATTAATGTAAAAAGATAACACACAACCTCAGTTTTGTGTTTTTTTTTTTTTTTTGCGGAACCAGGGACTGAACTCAGGCCCTTGCGCTTGCCAGGGAAGCGCTTATTCCACTGAGCCATCGCCCCGGCCCCTACAACCTCAGTTTTGAATTCCTACTTCTCTGTATGAAAATAATCTAGTATTTGCAACACTACTAATTTCAATGTTATGAAAAACATTTTGATTTGATCTTTTCAACAGCAAGTGCTATCATCCTTGAATACAAATTAGAACTAAAATAAAAACCAATGAGGCCCAAAGTACTCCTCCTACAAGAAACCCAGATCTCTCACTTTAACTCTAGGCATTTTTCCATTCTACCATAGCAACTCCTTTGTCATACAAATCATGGCTTGCACTTTCAGTAAATTATTTACAATGTGGGTCTTGGCAGTCTTATTTGAGTAGGCATTTGAATGTGTTCATTTATCATCATGAAGGGAATAAATCATGGAAGACAACAGGACACTGCATTCAACTCTGAACAAAATGCTTCTTTTCTTTCTCATCATTATCCTGTTTTTGTTTATCTGTTTAAAAGGAAACAGGATGATGCAACTCTCTATCCTAACTCACGCTTTTGAATGGGGTTTTCAATTTGGAAAAAGTGATAAAAATGATAGATAAGTATCTGAATTAAGAAAATTTAAGATTAAAGTGAATAAAAATGGTGGATTAAGAACCAGGGCCAGGGAGATAGCTCAGTAGAATAAGTGCTTGCCTGGCAAGTGCAAGAGCCTGAGTTCAATCCCCGGTTCCACAAAAATAAAAAAAAATAAAAAAATTCCGGCTATTTGGTATGAACAGAATACCAAAAGTTCTATGTAAGAATTCACTAATAGTCAACTTTGAGTAAAACTTCTTTTCAAGATTTCCTAGCTGGGTGTCACAGCATATACCTGTAACCCAGCATTCTAGGAAGCTGAGACAAGAGGATTGATCACAAGTTCAAGACAAGTTTGGGCAACATAGAAAGACTCCATCTCAAAATACAACATTAAATAAAAGGGCCAGGGATGTAGCTCAGTGAAAAGTCCTTGGGTTCAATTTCCAGTGCCACAAAGGACAAATAAACAACACTTTTCCAAGATTACTGTTAAGTGCTTGCAGTCCCCACACTTTATCTGCAGCACTGCCTCTTTATTTACAAATAAATAGTATTCAAACACAAGTCAAAGGGCTTAAAGTTGTATGAATCATTTAGAAGCATGAATCTAAAAAATAACCTGATGTGTCTAAACATCAGCCAATAATATTTTTAAAAAGAAAAATACTCCTCCAACACCAAGTAAATTTTTGGGTTTTTTTCTTTTGCAATGCTGGGGGTGGGGATGGGGATTGAACTCATGGCCATAGAAGTGTTAGCAAGCACTCTACCACTGAGCCCTTCTTTCTGTCCTCCCTCTGAATGTTTACTTTCACTAAGAATGGAAAAAGAGCCATCAAATAAATGAATTCTTCCTTTCAGGTGAATACGTAGCTATCAGGATGATAAGATAATCTCTTTTCAGAAAGCTTAGGGAAGGAGAAACAGAAGCATAATAATAGGTACCATTGATTGGGTCCTCACATTAGGAGAGGCATAGTAAATGTTACCTTAGACTTTTGCATATTTTACCATTTGAATCTTTACAACAACGCTACCAAAGACACCATTATTATTTGCATTTATAGGAGACCCAGATTTGAGCAACCTGCCCAGAACAGCAATTTGGCCCCAAAGCTCAAGTTTGACATTAAAAATCAGAGCTAGCAACAGTATGAAAATAGTCTTGCACCTGACAAAATTAAAATACGTTCAAAAATATGTTCAAAGCCATTATTTTAAGAGCTTTGGAGAAATAAAAAGCATCACACTGATTTAGTAAAGGATTACCAAGAGAACCTGAAGTGTACCCATTTTTAGTATCAAACGCTTTTTAAAAATTCGATAATGAACTCATTTTGTTTTCTTAGTATTTGTAAGTCTAAATCAGAAGCAAAATTAATAATAGACTAGTGAGAAAGAAGGTATGTTTGGTTATTTTTAGCACAGTGGATTAAGGCTTACTCTAATTACTGGTACTCAGAACATCTGAAAGTGCTTATTCTTATATTCAAAACACATGACTTTTCTGCAGTCAGCTCAGTATCAGCTGACTGTGGGTGAATGGAGTTAAACTGTTCTCTTACCCACTGGTATGTGATTAGAAATTCTTTTGTTAGTAAAGAAAATCAATAACTACCCTTCAACAAAGTCTCAAGCTAGTATGTGGGAATGTAAGTACTTCAAAATTCTAAAAGACTTTCATCCAATGCCTGTTCCATTAAATCCTGCATGAAATAGAAATCAGAAAGGCATACAATATTTTGTCCTCAAGAGCATTTATTTTAGGGATGAAGAAAAAAGGCAAAGTGACTTGATTAAAGTCACAAAGACATTCAAAGGGACAGAACTCAAGCCCTCAGATTTTCAGTCGGTCTTTTCAGCGACATTATGGCTATTCCCCTACTCCTTCTCCAAAAGGGGAAACCTATCTGTATGCCAAACCAGAATGAAGAACATGGATGAGCCAATTTAACAAGGACATGAAAAGCTAGACATGGCAGCTCATCCCTGTGATCCTAGCACTCTGCAAAACAGAGGCAGGAGGCTCACAAGTTCAAGCCTGGCCTGGGAAACTTAGAACGTGTCTAAAAAGAAAAGAAAAATGCTTGCTGCTATGAACAGCTGAAGTGCTAGTTCTGAATTCACCAGGAGATAAGCTGTACAGTAATTTTCTGGCTTAATTAAGGTCTTTTCTTCCAGATGGAACAGGGAAAACAAATCATCTGCTAATGTTAACAAACAATATGTCATTATGTGGTAAGTTGATGAGTTTTCAGTATGAAATGGGCAGAGAGGACGCACACAGAAAACATATACATAAATTCCACATTCTATACATGAGAATTTGTCAAGTCCATCTTTTATTTAAAGGGGATTTGATCTGAGTCTTAGAATCCGTTAATTTCTTTTTTAAAAAGCAGTGGCCTAATATAGGGACAGACTGGGTAGCATGTGTAAGGACACCAAGGAGTTCTTTCCTTTCTTCATTTTAAAGGCCCATTCACAGGCTTGATTCCCTTGCTAGTATTTTCCTCCTCCACATGGGGGACTCCTTTCCCTATCTAGAAATAAGCTCAAGCCTCACTTTTTTTTAACCCTCTCTATGGATGGTTACTACCTCTTCTGTCCTTCACAGCAAACCACCCCAAAATAGTCTACATCTGCTATTTAAATTCCTCCACCTTTTTGTGCTTTGCCCATTACATCAAGAGTACTGTCTCTACTACTCTCCATTGAAAATGTTCTGGCAAAGGGCTTTTATGAAATGTTCACAATAAAATCGAGTAGATTCTACCTTCATTTTCATGTGACATGTGGCATCAGAGATCTTACTCAGAAACTCTCTGCCTCACTCTACAGGACACTTCTTTATTGTCTTTGCCTGCTGCTGACAGGGCTGGTTATCTAACACTTTCTGCCTTGTTTTCCCCAGAATTCCATGCCTGTGCCCATCAGACCCCATCAGAAAGCCAGGTATCTCTTAATGGAAGTCATACAGCATCCCAACATCAGCTTGCTGGAAAAGGAGCTGAGTTCTCTACTTCACCCTCCAAGGAATCAGCCAAACCAAAAATGTGCTGAGTCCCTTCCTTTCTTTGTCTGTCCTCCCCACTTTTCTTATCAAGCTTCCATAGGTAACAGCTCTTCTTTGCAGACTCATGGTTTAGGAAATCATTATCACCCAGTCTCCTACTCGTCTGCCAGGCACCACTGCAGTCACACTCCTTCCCCATCCATTGTCTCCTAGGAATCTTTTAAGAAATGCACATTAGAACTATGTTAACCCTATTCAAAATCTTTGCCTCTAAGATTTGAGTTGCATGCCCATGTTGGTCACTAGCATATGACCTTGGGCAAGACACTTCCCCAATTCTCATTTTTTTTCTAAAACTGCAATTGGTTAACAACAGAGTTTCTTAAATTCAGGAACTGTCTTGTGCAGAGGATAGAGGCTAAGTGAGTGGGGACAGAATACCTGTTCCTGATTTTCTCAGAGTAACTGCACTTCTATTTTTTAAGCTTCTATGCCTGGGGCAAAAAAACTTTAAAAAAGTCTTGATCACATTATTCTAAAACATCTCCCAGCTCTGAAATGCTATGATTTTTCTATGATCTTTCACAAGAAGTACTAAATCAACCACTGGATACAAAATCACCCAAACATGATTAAATTCACCTGTCTGTAGTACTTAGGAAACTTACTATATCCTATAATACCCACTTCTGCCTATCTCCGCCACAAAATAACCCATCCATACTTGGAGTGCAATAAAGGAAAGAGAAGAAATCCTCTGTCCTTTTCACCTGCATGGCACGCCACATGTTTAGTTCTTTGCATACTGCCATACAAGAGAATTTTTTATAGGCAGAAATGCTTTTATCTGAAATTCAGTAAATTATTCAAAAGGGAACAGAAATGGGGAAGAAACAAAATAAATATTGCTTCAAGAAATGTTCTGAGCAGGGTATGGTGGTGCATGCCTATAATCCCAGTACTCTGGCAGGCTGAGGCAGGAGGAAACAGTCTGGGCAACTTGGCAAGACACTGTCTCCAAGGGAAAAAAGAAAGGGTATGTAGCTCAGTGCAAAGTCCCTCAGTTCAATCCCCAGTGTCACAAAACAAAACGTGTTCTGTAAAAGAAGAAATCATACTTCATTAACATGCTTAGAACAACCTTGAGAAATTTAAGACAATCAGAGTTTCTTCAAACAGCAAGAAAACACAGATGCATACCATTTTTAAAAAATTCAACATAAAACGCCAATCTGAGTCATTTTGCAATAGTGACATGTTTTTTAAAAAAAAATCTATCCTTAATAAAAGTAGTTGTTATATCTAAGAACATTGCTGCCACAGCAACATGTATATTTCAAATAAATAAATACTATTAATAAATAGGTCCTGTATATATAGTTCTTAAATATCTGTAATGATTGAAACGGTTTGTATATTCAAGATGCTTATAAGATTCTTAAAATTAGATAAAAGGCACATCAAATATCAGTCATTACTTTAGACATTTGTGGAGAAGGAATTAGACTCATTTATGCTTGTCTAAATGTAGAGAATTACTCTCATAATATAATTTGCCCTGTAATGAAATGAATTCACTGAATTTTTCTAAAAAGATAATTAAGCATGAATAATCATTTGTGTCTTTATTGTATAATTTGGTTTTAAGACAATTTCCCTGCTTTCATTGTTTTAGTCTGGGTAATCAATCAAAACAGCAGTTATTTTAAAATACAAAACATTCCTTTAAATCTATTTCACTTAAATATTTATTAATCATTATTTATAAGTATCATTCAAGTTTGCTATTTCCCCATTATAAATCACCTAGCATTTGATTCTGCTGCTTCGTCTTTCTGATAAATAGAAAATTTACCTTTTGTAAACAATCTTCAGATCTCGCCACTCAAGGAAGCTGCACATTTTAGGTTTCCTTGCTAAAACGGTTTGAACAAGTTCT